CCTGTGTTGGTCCGGCACACACCTGTGTTGGCCCAGCACACGCCTGTGTTGATCCAGCACACGCCTGTGTTGATCCAGCACACACCTTGTTGGCCCAGCGCCATCCGTGTTGGTTTGTTTCCTCGCCTTCCTCTCCAGACTTCAGAGCATCAGGCTCATGTAGGACCCACTGTCCTGAGCTCCTGACCAGGTTCCACTCCAGCCCACTAAGTTGAAAGTCTCATTGTAGGAACAGCAGAGCTCAAATCCTTCAGGGGTTCATGGATCCAAAGTCATTTACCCAGAAGAGGCGCACAGCTCGGAGCTGGCCTGGGGAAGAGGAGGCCCAGACTTCCCCGGTTCCAGAAGCTACCTCCTTGCTTCTTACACAACTCTGACAAGTGCACACTAACTTCATCTGACAATCAAGGAGTGGGGGCTCCCAGCGGCTCCCTGACTTGTTCAAGGGCATGTGACAGCATCCCCCTGATGCTTCTTGTCCAGCCCCCCTCTTCACCACACAGCGCTGGGGGTGTGCTCAGTTCTCCCACAGGTGGGGACGCCGTGAAGGGGGTGTGCGTGGTGGCACTGGGTCTACCCCCCCACCCATGGGACACCCGCGCCCATTGTTCCCAAACATCATCTGATGAGGTTTGTCTGGACCCATCATGGTCGCCAGTGGTTTACCCCTATCAGCGCTGGGACATTCATGTAAGTAACAGTGCCCAGGTAGTAATAGTGGTTAGTAGTTTATAGCCCCCTATTACATCAAAATGTCCTGTTTTAACCTATATACTATAGAATTATTTTATTATTCTTATCTTCTATTGAAATGGACAACAGGAATGTTCTGGAGATAAGTAAGTAGGAACAGCTAGAGCACATGGAGGGCTGGGGGCCCTGAGCAGCACTGAACGGCTCACCTGCGAACCGCACCTGACACGCTTCATCTCCTGTAATCTTCGACGCTCTGTGAAGCAGAAACTGATGCCATTAAGCCACGTTTTTTAAAAAAAAAATAGATTTATTTTATTTATTTATGCATATAAGAACTGGGGTGCAGGCCAGAGGTCTGGTGGGGGGGGGGTGTGTGTGAATGGATTCACCAGAGACAGAGTGGGGAGCAGAACAGGTGGATCTACTGAAATTGCACTGCTGAGGGGCGCAGCGGGGAGACAGGAGAGGTTGCTGTGCCCTGTGGGTCAGCAACTTGGCTGGGGACTGAACTCATGCCACCACAGTGGCTGGTGATAGCTTGATAATGCTGAGATTTAACCCCTGTGCCACCAGGGAGGCCCATCAATCCACCTTTAGCACAATGTAAAATGTCCATAGATTCCAAATCCCTTAACGGTTCTGCTTCATTTTCCTCCCCAACTGGTTAATGCCAATTAATCTGAGAACCCACAGGACTCACTTCTTGCCCCATCATCCCGGCACCCCCTCTTCCAGAAGACCCCCTCCCCCGCCGCCGCAGGCAACGCCCTTCCCGGAAGACCAGGGACCCGAGGTAGCGATATTTAATTATAGCGCTAAGCTGACACCTAGTGGTCGCGGAGGATATTGCAGTAGGAACTTGGCGCTCCAAATTTGTTAACGTGAGCTTAAACGTTGGAAGCAATGTGGGTTAGGGATTCTAATCTCTTTTCTGCACATTCACTTACAGTTACAGTCTTAACCAAGTTATTAAACTTGGGGGGCTTGAAACAAAAAAGCAAGGGAGCTTGATTAGAAGGTATACATTTCTTCCAGTTCTAATTCTGTATTGTTATAAAATATTGACTGCCCATGACAGAAAATTCATGACTTTAAAATATCATTCACGTCTAATCCACCACTCAAGAACACATGATCACACAACATAAAAATAATCTTAGAGATGGAGCATCTAAGTGGAAAATTATCATCTTCATATCTTTATTATAAAAACACTAAATATGCCCCGTTTTAAATACTATGAAAAGCTCATTAAAAAATCTTTTCCTGGCCCTCCCTGGTGGTGCAGCGGGTTAAAGCACAGCACTAAGAAGCTGAAGCCACTTCCACATGAGTTGGATTCTCACCTCTCCCTGAGATGACCACATGGCCTGGCAGACCTCTCCTATCTCCCCCACTGCTCCCCTCTGTAGTGTACTTCTTCAACCTGCCTATTCTGCTCCCCACTCTGTCTCCGGTAAATCCTTTCACCACCCCTACACCTCTGGCCTGTACCCCAGTTCTGTATGCATAAGTAAATAAAATCTTTAAAAAAAAAAAAAGTAATGCCCCAAATTACCACAAACTTTACAACTTATCCATCATTAAAGTAGAATAATTCCTGGTACTCATATTTTTCATGTATGTTTTACAAGACCCAGCTCATAAAAGACACCTGTATCTGTGGATTATGACACATCAGAAATGCAATTTTATGACTATGTTTTATTTAAGCACTACCTATAATCTGTTAGTGGCACATTTTGGGCTTTTTTCCCAAACAAGTACAGAATGGCCATTGAAAGGTTTAGTGCAAATATCTGTAATCTTAATTAAATGAAGATATTCTGTCTGTGTATCCCCTATTTTACATTCTCCAATGACTTTATCACAGAGAGGAAAAGCAAATTTCTTCCCAATAACTTAGTGTTCATGTTCCCACACATGACATATAGTTTTGTTACAGGGCACCCCAGTGTGAACTGGGCTACCTGTCTGTGGGTCCTCACCCATGTGCCTAAAATTTAGTTGTGCTGCAGGCGCACACAAAAGGGTCAATAACGGGTTTATTTACAAAAGGGGGAAAGAAAAGGAACAACCCAGGGAAAGAGAGAGAGATACAAGGTGACTAGAATATCTTACCGGCTCTGCATATTTGGAGCTCTGGTGACAAACTAACTGATAGCCCCCAGTCACGCAACCCCGAGAGCCATTGCCTGAGGGAGAGAGTGGGGTAAATGGCTCCCTATTTATCCCCCAAGTCCCAGAATGCCTGTGTAGCTCCGCCCTTGGGTCCTTGCGGGTTTTCTCCCTGGTACTTCTGGGAGTTGTAGTTTCCAATCACTGGAGTAGGGGGCAGAGCCCAGAAAGCTGGAGTAGAGGGTGGAGTCCACAAGACTGCAGAGTTCCTTTAGGACATCCTTCCACTTAACATGTTGTTTCACCAAAATTCAAACAAACCAGCCAGACTTCGGATTTCCTCCTTTGGTCATGCCTAGAAGGATGCTGACTTTTTGTTCTTCATGACCAAGTGAGTCACAAGAAACCACTAATCACAGAAATTAGTGGTTTGGGCATATCACTCAGTGCTGCCCGTTCTCAAGTCCACTGTCCACTTCTGTAAAAGGCCCTGGTCTCCCAAGTTTATAATAGTCATCAGACCTCCTTCAGGCTGTGCTGGTAAGAGCAAAACTGTGTGTATCCATCTAACTAAAACGGGAGGTGGTGCCCAGTGCAACGGAAATCGTCCTACACACACACACACACACACACACACACACGCACACACACGCCTTCTAGACGTTCTTCTAGACTGGCAAAGATGCAGAGAAGTACCCGACAGATTGATGAGAGATAAAAACAAGAAGAGGTTTAATAACAGCATGCAGACCTGGGGGAGACGCAGCATGATGAGTAACTCACCACCTGACTTCAAGAACCATCTTAAGTTGCTCAGTTAGTACAACTTAAGAGAGGTTAGAGAGGGGAGACAGTTGGGGAGCAGCAGACAAAAGTATCCAGAATTAAGTGCTGTTCTCTGAAAAGAGATAAGGAGATTATTCTACCAGTTACTACATCTGGGGGTGAGAAATTTACATGTAAATCTCTTTTCCAAAAGAGACCTCCACCCAACCTTCAGAGTCCATTCCAATGAAATCAATCGTTTTTTTTCAAAAAGACATATTTTGGGGTAGCAGATTTTTGCTCCCCCACATATATAACTAAATTTAGTATTTTTCTCCGACTAATCTGTCTAATGTGAAAATATTTGTTTCCCTCATCTGAGAAGAAGCCAGAGAGGCAGGGGAATTTTCCCTTGTACCCTAACAAAACTCATCATGGAAAGAACAATTTTTACATCTCTCTTCTTCTCAGTACCCAATGTAAGGCTTAGAGGTATTAAGTTGGTTTTTCTTTTTTTAAGATTTATTCATTTTTGTGTATAAGAACTGGGGTATAGACGAGAAGTGTGAGATTCACCAGAGACAGAGTGGGGAGCAGAACAGGCAGATTGACTAAAATCCACTGCTGAGGGGAGCAGAGGAGAGACAGGAGAGGTTTGCTGTCACTGTGGGCCACTCCCTGGCCTGGGATCTGACTCGTGCTGCAGTGGCTATGGACAGCTTCACAGTGCTGAGCTTTAACCCATTGTGCCACCAAGGAGTCCCCAGAGAGATGAGGTTTTCACAAACAATAGCATCTGGCTTTCCTCTCATTGTGGGTCCCAGTCGCAGTCTAATGGCGCTCAGGGGCATCCTGTGTGGTGTGGGGGCTGGCAGCCTGACAGCGTTGGTCACACGCCCTGACGTGCTGCTTCTAAATGATGCGGTAATCCAGTGTGAGATGATTCACAATATCAGACTTAGCGTTTTTTGTATTTTATTAATAGGTGAGAAAATTCGCAACCTATGTAGTGGCTGCTGGACTTCAGTACGGAATGGAAGGAGGCATCCTACACAGTTTTTTTAAGGTACGGCTTTTCACTGACGATGTGCCTCAAAAATAAGACCGTATGATCCGAAGATGTCCCGTCTTACGTCTAGGCTTGACTAGGTCCGCATGACATGACAGCAGAGAGCCAAGGAGAACATGGGTGTAGACCATGCCCACCCATTTTTTTCTTTCCTATTACTAACAACATGCACTCACCACTCACA